ATGGCCATGTCTACAGTTCAAGCGCAGTGTTGTTGCTCTTGCTGTGTGCTGTCGAGTCGATTGCGACTCATAGCAACTCCATGGGGCAGAGTAGAAACTGTCCCATAGGGTTTTCTAGGCTGTAATCTTTCAATAAACAGTAACTAATGATGTGCAAGCTATCATGTCAGCATATTTTGCTTCCTATTGACACGTTTTGCCGTATCTGGAAATCAGCTGAGTGAGCTGTGATCCCTGCCCTCAAAACTTACAGTTTGGTGGGGAAGATACATGTGGACTGACCAAGTAAAAGATGAAAGTGAAAATTTTGCCTAAAGATAAAAACAATAATAACTGCCATTGACATCGGTATTGTTATTAAGTACTTCCTACATATAATATTACTAAATCTCTACAACACCCTTTGAAGTAGCTACTATCATTATTGTATTTTACAAATGAAGAAAAGTGTGGCACAGAGAGGTTAAGTAACTTGCCCAAAGTCACAGAGCTGGAGCCCAGGCAATATGGCTCCAGTCGGCACTGGGGATAGACCTAGGTACCAATTCAGATTTTATCACATTCTTGCTGGGTGATCTTAGGCAGCATATTTAACTTTTCTGAGCCTTAGTTTCCTCATCTGAAAAATGGGAGTAACAACTCATAGCTCACAGGTTTACGCAGAGTATTAAACAGAATTATATGTGCAGAGTGCTTGCCATGGTATCTTCAGCAAGTGAGAGATGATAGTTTTTGTCATCAGGGGAACAAGCACATTAAAACATTTTTTTCTAAGATGTTGGCCATCTTCCCTATTTGCCTCACCGACTGGTAAGGCACCACTACTAGAGATGTAGCTAATGGGGTGGAAGTGGGGGTGCCAACCCCCCACCCTGCTGTGTCCCTAGAAGTAACGTCAGTAGGTGAAGAAGTGGGAATAACAACATTCCAGGTCAGTTCAACAGACATTTGTTGAGTTCTTGATTGATCACCTGTCAGGTACCCAGCACTGTGTGAGGCACTGTGGCGGCTAAACTGAGAAAAGAGTGGATTATTGGTACCCATAATGCAAGATACTGTGGCAAATACTTTGCAAACATAATCCCCTTTAGTACTCCTCATAAACCATGAGCTAGGAATTGTTATTACAATTTTACAGATGCAGAAACTGAGGCTCAGAAAAGTTAAATACCTGCTCCTACCATCAAGGAGCTCACAGCCGCATAGGGGAAATGCACATGTAAAACCGTCAAACACCCAGCACGCAGTCTGGACAATCTACTGTCCAGAGGCTGTTGGGAGAGGCCGTGGCTAAGTATCCAGGAAGCGGAACTCACAACCATGGTGTTCACACTGGGTGCACTGCTCAAACCATCAGGCCACACTGGGTACAAACCAGTCTGAGCCTTGGAAAATTCTCTAGGAGTATCTATCTACCCCTGTGTCTTCAGCCCAAAGCTATAACACCGATACATTGCTTTGGTGATTCTCAAACGCACAGCCATGATAAGGTTCCCAATCACAGAGCTTTTGTAAAGTTAAAGCAGCATCTGATGTGAGGATAACTGTTCTGGACACAGCCTAGCACATTCTTTATCTTGAGGGGCTCAGCATTTCAAGGTTTCCTAGTAGAAACCATGTGCTTGAATAAGTGTCAAGTTAGATTATTAATGGTGTGGGAAATCTAAAGCAGCCACTCATACTTCAAAAGACTCTGAATTAAGAGGGGAGAGCTGCAACTTTCCCCTCATTTTACAAATTCAACAATAAACATTTATTTCTTGCTAACACATCTTTGGGCCAACTGGAGGGTTTGCTTCACGTGTCCCATCCTGGGATCGAGGCTGGAGGGCATTGGCTACCCAGGGTATGTTCTTTTCATGGCTTTGGTAGAAAGAAACACAAGAGGACAAGCTCACCAAGGCAAGCACACACACACCATACCCTCTGCATACATCACATTCACTCACATTCCATTGGCCAAAGCAAGTCACATGGTCAAGCCCAATGTCAAGGATCAGGGAAGGTACACATCACCCACCATAAGGCCATGGCAAGGGAGTGGGTATATAACACTAGTAAAGAGTAATGAAGAACTGGTACCAATAATCCAATCTACCACACTTTCTAGCAACCCTGAAAGGTAAGCACTATTGACTCCACTTTTTTCTTGACAGCTGAGAAAATTGAGCCTCAGGAGTTAAAGGCACCGCTCCAAGACCAAGCAGGCAGTATGTCGCTCTAGCAGAATTGGAACTCCCATCTTTGGCCCTCTATGGTTTCCACGGGGATTTAACTTACTGACATGTAACTGACACTCATCTTTAATAATCCTATCCCTTAATTATGCTTCCTTGGAGATAACAATTCTCTCCAACAAAGGCCAGACCCAGCATTGTCTCATCCTTTAGCATGATCACAATGTTTAACATTTGTTCAGTACCTTCTGCAGTGTTTTTACAAGCTATTTTTACTACTACTACACTAATAAATTATTATGGTGGGAAACCCTGGCTACTTGAAAACAGACTTTATTAAAAACATCCCTTTCCCCCTCCAATGAGTACCCTCCCAGGGTACAAACAATTCTTTGCCTACTCTGAGCCTTAAAGATTTCACAAGAGCCAATGCAACCAAAGATTCTGGTGGCTTCAGAGAAAAGAGTACGGAAGAATCAAGTTTGAAGCTAATTTTTTGGGGGCGGGGAGGTGGGTGGGGACGGTGTTGTTTGCTGCTACTGCAATCCCCCACCCCAATTCAACAACAAATAGTTGCTGAAGACCTACTCTGGGCGTGGATGGTGCTGGGACTGAAGGCTGCAAGGGAAAAAAAAAAAAAACAACCTTGTATTGAATGGACTTTGATTCACCGTAACCCTATTTGTTACAGAGAGAACTGTCCCATAGGGTATTCTTGGCTGTAATCTTTACGGAAGTATATCACCAGGCCTTTCTTCTGCAGAGCCCCTGGGTGGGTTCTGACCATCAACCTTCGGCGAGTAGTCGAGGGATGACACCTAAACAGCTCCCAGGGAGCTTACATTCTGTTGGAAGGGGTGGATGGTTACCAAAAAAAAAAAAAGTAAAAGCAAACAGTAATTTCAGATGGAGTAAGGAGTAAGGGTTGTCCACCACTCATCTGTCAGTTTGTTGTGCTGTGGTGGCTTGAATGTTGCTGTGATGCTGGAAGCTATGCCACCAGTATTTCACCTGATCCAAGCCACGGTATTTTCAATTACCTCATGTGCATGTGAAAGCTGGATAATGAATAAGGAAGACTGAAGAAAAATTGATGCCTTTGAATTGTGGTGTTGGTGAAGAATATTGACTACACCACGCACTGCCAGAAGGATGAACAAATCTGTTGTTGGAAGAAACACAGTCAGAATGCTCCTTGGAAGCGAGGATGGCAAGACTTTGTCTCTCCTACTTTGGACATGTTATCAGGAGGGACCAGTCCCTAGAGAAGGACACCATGCTTGGTAAAGTAGAGGGTCAGCGAAAAAGAGGAAGCCCGTCAACAAGATGGACTGACCCAGTGGCTGCAAAACCAGCTCAAGTACAGCAGCGATTGTGAGGATGGCACAGGACCAGGCAGTGTTTCGTTCTGCAGTACACAGGGTCCCTATGAGTCAGAATCGACTCGACGGCACCTAATAACAACAGTAAGAGTTGAGAAGAAACTAGCCAAGTGACCCTGGGTAACCACTGCCCAACCTCTCTCTAAGGCCCTCCTCCTCTCATCCGGAAAGCAGGCAAATCACTTGTACACCCCTCACTGCTGGCCTTTAGGAGGGATTAGGCTAATAAGCTAAAGTATGTGAGGGCCTCTGGCATGCAGCCTTTGAGCATCGCCTGCTCTCTCTAAGCATTCACTGCAGTTTCTTTAGTTCCCATAATTGGGAGGCTGGGGTGTTGTTGCGGGTAGGACATTCTAGGGCCCCTCTCTTCACGCTCACTAAAACGCCTGGCCTGATACTCCCGGGAGAGGCCTCCTTAGCCAGCTGGGAGGAGTGGTTCTTCAAAACAAAAGCCCAGAGCGGGCGCCCTAGAGCGGGATTTGGATAGTGAGAGGAGTTAGGAGACAGTTCGCCTGCTCTCTGGTGGCGCGGACACTGGCGCTGCTCGCTTACGGTGCTCCGGGGTTGGGAGACGGGGACTGTCCCTGCTCTACTCTCTACCCCACCCTGCGGGGACAGACGCTACTCTGGCCTCCTCCTTCCCTTCGCTACCGGGGGAAGCAGGCCAGACAGAGGACTCGCTAATGACAGATCCGGAATTGCGTGGGATGGGGGCTGCCCCTCCTCCTAGAGCGAATTTGGGCAGAGAAAGAGCCAGGAGGCTGCACACCCGACCCTGTTCCTGGCCGCGCTGTGCCCGCCCCGCTCGTGGACGCCCCCGATAGCTGATTTGACTGCAGGGTTCGATGATGACAGCTCGGGGACTGGCGGGGGGCGGTCCCTCCTTCCCACCCCCACCCCCAGTCACCTAGACGCCTCTCCAGCCTCACTCCAACCCCAGGCCTGGCCGTTGGGCTGCGGCAGCTGCGCCCTGGGGCAGGGAGGGCGCGCGGAGGTGCTAGGGGCACGGGGCAGTGGGAGACGGCCTGGCAGCGCGGCTTCAAGTTTCCACCGCGTGCAGTTGTGCAACGGCTAGGAGCCAGAGCCGCGGGTGGCTGGAACACACAAGCCGAGCCCATAAACAAAGCCACGTGGCCCCGGGCCGGGGGGCCGGGCCAAGTGCAGGCGGCTCTTCCGGCAACAAAGAGCCGGGCCCCGGGCGCCGTATAAATAGTGCGGCCGCCACTGCGGCGCAGCACTCGAGAGGCAACTGCCCTGCGACCTTCTGCCCCGCCCGCGCCCTCTGCGAAGGCAGGGTACCCCACTCCGCACCCCTAAACCGCAGCCCCCCGCGCCAGTTCCCTGCACACACACCCCTCGCCGGTCCTCAGCACTCTGAGCTCCCGCCCAGGGCAGCGCGTCTCCGAGGCCTCTGGTCGGGTCCCGTCCATCAGTTGATCCCATCCGTGCGTCCGTCGCGTCCGCTCGCGGGTGCCATGCCATTCCTCGGGCAGGACTGGCGGTCCCCCGGGCAGAGCTGGGTGAAGACGGCCGACGGCTGGAAGCGCTTCCTGGATGAAAAGACTGGCAGTTTTGTGAACGACCTCAGCAGGTGAGGGCACCCGCCACCAACTTCCAGCCCGCCAAAACCGGCCCAGGCTGGTCTGAGGGCGCGAAGCAGCTGAATTGGGGGGTGAGGGGAGGACAGAGAGGGCTGGAACCGGGTGGGAAGGGGGGCCCTGACTAGAGGTTGGGGTGAGTTGCTTGGATTGTTGCAGAGGTCGCCAGAGCACCGGAGACAGGAAGCTTGGTTTCTCTTATTGTTCAAGGTCAGCGTCGCCAAGTGCGCCCGACTCCTTACAGAGGCCTGGACCGCTCTGAGAAGTTGATGACAATCGCGGTTCTTGTTCCCAAGTGCTCAAACTTAAGCCCACAACTTTACGGGGTCCCGAACCCAGATTACGTGTCCTGCTTTAGGGACACCGGAATCGTCGCGCAGTTTTCTTGTGTAGCTGCGCGGGCGAGTGGGCTGCGCGCCTTTCACGGTGGGGGTGGCGGGGCTCCGAGCGCTGGAGACGCAGTCGGCACAATCGGGAGATAGGATGCGACGCGGGCCCCGCCCGGAGGGCCGCCAGGCTCTTTCTCGCACAGGCGACCATGGGGTGGGCGTGAGGATGACTAACAGAAAAGCGGCGACTAGGGGACGGGCCAGATGATCCCTGGGACAGCGGCCGAGCCGTAGCAACCACGCGGGGGATGCGGAGATGCGGGGGAAGGAAAGCATCGGGCCCACCCAGAGAGCTGGATGAAACCACAAGCCCTCTGCTTCCTGGAGGACCGAGCGTTTGCACCTGTTTCCTCAGTGGCCCTTGCGGTCTCTTTTCTTTCTCTGTATAGTGAATGCACACCCATTTCAAGTGGTGCTTGTCTGCGGCAGAAAGTTCACCTACCTGGCTCCCGTGAGCCTCTGGACTCAGGTCTCACCTGAGCTCTGCCAGTCCTCTGAGCCCAGTGCTCAGCTTCGGAAGATTAATAAAAACAAGCGCAGGCTAATAATATTATGTAGTTGGGAATCTGTTGACTCGCTCGAAGGTTGACTCTCAGATCTCCGCCATTTGGCCCTCGTAAACAGGGAGGTGAAAGTAAGTCCAGCGAGGATAAGTCCTGCGAGGTCGCGCTTGGGTCCCTTTTCCCGCTGCATTTGGTTACAACTTCTGGACTCCCCCTCCCCTGCCCCCTTTAAGTTGGCTTCAGTGGAAGGTTCTGTCAATGGGCGGTGTACCCAATTATTGAGATTTAGCAGTGGTTGTTTGGATGAACCCTTGGCCTTGAATTTTAAGAAAATTATCAAGAAAATGTGGTTATTTTGACAGCCTGACCTCCAGGGCCCCCCGTCTGTTGGTGATTTGTAATGTGTCAAACTCACTTTGTCTCCCAGTAAAAAGAAGCAAATGATTTAATCTTGAGTTCTGTTAGGAGAGACAAGACCAGATTGACCTTTATGTTGGAGATATTTTGAGGCAGTCCCATGGGAGTTTGAGGAGCATTATAAAGCCCTGGTGGCACAGTGGTTAAGAGCTTTCCTGCTAACCAAATAGAATCCACCAGACGCTCCTTGGAAACCCTATGGGGCAGTTCTACTCTGTCAGGATCGACTCCACAGCAACCGGTTATAAAGAAATCTATTTATGGAAAATCAGATGATTTATTTACAGAAAGAAAAAAAAAAGACCAACTGATGTCATCAGGCTACATCATATCCTTTAAGGACTCAGGTTACCAATTGTGCCTGTTACTCTCTTTTAAATAAATGGAAAGGGGCTGGAGTAGAAGCTTCCCTGTTTCCATCTCTTTGCTAAGTAATTGGTGATCTAGTATTTTGCTACTTTTGTTGTTATTGTTGGTTGTTAATTATAGCGGAGTGAATTCCCATTCATGGCTACCCCATATATGCAGAGTAGACCTGCTCCATAAGGTTTTCAAGCCTGTCTTCCTAGGCGCCTCTGGGTGGGGTTGAACTGCCAACCTTCCTGCTAGTACTGCAGCACTTAACCGTTTGTGCCGCCCGGGGACTCCTTGGTACTTTATTTGTGTATAAAACTTGAGATTCTTTTAGAGAGGTGCAGCAATGGTCTGCCAAGCTGTGACCCATTGGCTCACTCACATATAATTGTTGGGAGCTCCTCAGTGTGGAGAAGACTGTTGGGTTCAGCAGGAGCTTCTGGTTGGTATGAATACTCAGAGTGTCCTGGCTCCAGGAGATAAGCTAGTATCACTCTCCTGTAGAAATAAACAGGGTGCCTCTCTCCCCACACCATGGAAAACTTGAAGATAGTTCTCACTTACCTGAAAAGTTTAGACTAGGCCAGGATCAAGTAGCTTCACACCCCTTTGTCCCCATAACAAACCTCCTTTTTACCCTCTCATTTCATGCTCTCTGGGCTAGAGCTGTCATGTGCACTGCATTATGGCCAATGGTGACCAGTAGTGACCACCTGTGGTCATTTTATGAGCCAGAGTTTAGGGGTCATTGGGTAGCCTCCTAGTAAAGCAGCTGGCTATTTGTTTGCAGGGGTTTTTTGTTTCTGGTTTTTTTCAGCAATTGTAAACAATCCCTTTCCTACTTAGCATGAGAAACCTGCCAACTTCTTAAAAGCACTTGGCCTTTCGAGGCCTGAGTTCGTAATCTCAAATATCCCCACTGTTTTCGGTCTGGGTGACGTTTCCCTGTGATGTCAGGTTTGGGCTGAGTGCCTCGTTGCACAGGTGATGCTGAATACCTCTCTTGTTGTGAGAAGACAAAAGGCAAGCCCTTAAAAAAAAAGGGAGGAGGTGTCGTGTGGAAAGGAGGATGACGGAGGCTCGGTATACGTCTCTAATTCCACGTACAGTTCTGTGAGCTGGCCAAACCAGGGCCCAGGTTGAAGGGTGCATTCGGTGTTTTTCAGTCTGGGGCTATTGTTTACTGTTGACCACAGCTTGTGTGCACAGCACAGCTCTTCTAAACTCTGTGGTCATTCTCTCAGTGGGCCAGAGCCCCATCCTCCTTCGACAACGGAATGTCACAAACCTCATCCCAACTAAGTGCCCAGAACTGAGATAATGGGAAGATTTCAGATAAACTTAAAGCAACGTTCCTTCTCTCAATAAGTGAAAACTACATAAATACAAGGGGATTTTTTTTTTTTTTTACCAGTTGCTATCGAGTTGACCCCAACTCATGGTGACCCCATATGTGTCAGAGTAGAACTGTGCTCCATAGGGTTTGCAATGGCTGATTTTTCACTAGATCATCAGGCCTTTCTTCGAGGAGTCTCTGGGTGGACTCGAACCTCCAACCTTTTGGTTAGTAGCCAAGTGCATTAGCTGTTTGCATCACCCAGGGACTCCAAAAGGGGAGTAATAAGTGTGAAATTTGATGGAGCAGATTAAAAATTCAAGAGAAGGAACTCGGCATGGGGGCAGAGGGCCCAAGAATGCCTTAAGGAAGTGGTGGGTGAGCCCCCTCCGCAACTTTCCTCCCCCACTCTCAGCCCCACTCCTACCATGCCCCCAGGTTGAGTAATTAAAGATGTCTGAGCCTCAGCCACTCTTCTCCAAGCCTACATTTTTGCAGTTGAAGACTCAATGTTGATTTTCTGTATAGCTAAGGCTGAACCAGGAAGCAGAAAGTTTACCTTGGTGCCCTGTATGAATAGTGTGCATATTAAATAAAAATAATAGTAGGATTTTATTGAGTGCTTGCTCTGTGCAAGGCAGTGTTCTAAGAGCTTTATACACTAGGTTGTTTGTGTCACCAGAGCAGCCCTGGGACTAGCCATGTGAGTTTGGCAATCTGGGTAAGTCTTGGAGTGAATGAGCACACAAATCTCACTGGCCTTAAACGAGGTTGTATAAGGAGCCCTGGTGGTGCAACGGTTAAGCACTTGGCTGCTAACTGAAAAAAGCTGGTGGTTTGAACCCACCCAGCTACTCTGCAGGGGAAAAAGACCTGTCGATCTGCTCCTCTAAAGATTACGGCCTAGAAAACCCTGTGGGGCAATTCTGCTGCGTCACATGGAATCGCTATGAGTCCAAATCGACTTGACGGCACCTAACAACAACTGCAACGAAGCCCTTTGGAGCAGGCCACAGCTTTCTTAAACGGCCTATTATTATAGCAAATGAAATGACAAAATGGGACGTTTTTTCCCTTCCTTTCTCCCTACTGCCAAAGTGGTCTTATTTTGAAATCTTTCCACCTTTTCTAAAATTGTTTTAAAGTAGCTTGGTGTGTGTGTGATGGTAGGGTAGGATGGGGGAGGTCTTTTTCTTATTCCAGGCCTGTGCCTGTGAGAACCAGGATTAGTGAGAACTTACTACAACATAGCAACTTGCTGGCTATTGTTGAATTTAGTGAAGAACCTCTTGAAGGTGGTTATGCTTGCTTCTTATTTAAAAACAAAATTAAATGCTGCGATTTCTAAATGGTGGTGGCTTTTCTTGTTAAAATTTTCAGTTGTAATTTTCCATGGACTTTGCATTTCCTTGAAATGGACATAATGGAACCCTCAAAAGAGCCTCTAACTGAATATGTTAGTGCTTAAAAGAAAACATGTAAGCAGGCAACACAAATAAACCCCATAGCCTTTTCTTCCAGGTCCTTCCCCTGGAGTCCAAAACCTAATACCAGGCTAAAAGTACAGGGTTGCTCTTTGGGGAAAAGTGTTCTAGTCTACAGTGGGAGAGCATCATCAATTATGCAAAGTTATTCTTAAACTAGCTTTTGAAATGAGTCACTTGGGCTTAAAGCAGATTATTGTTTGTCTCTGTGAGGAAAGCAAGTGCTCAAATTCCTTGGAGGAATGTTTTCAATTAGAAAATAATAAATATTTAAAACATCTAAGGAATGGTCACAATCTATGGTGCAGACTTCTAAAATTTTCTGCTGAACCTTACATGCGTGCTTGAGAGTAAGACAGCTTCATTTTATGATTCTCTATAGGTCGAATATATACTGTAGGTTTTCGTTCGCTGTGTGTGCGCGCGTCGTTGTTTCTTTTTAAAATAAATCTTGGTGTGGTATTTTTGCATGCAAGATGTTCTAGCTTTGCTTTTGAAAGCTGTTCTCGGCTTTGGTACATCACGGCCCAGTCAAGTGACCTTCCACCTTTTTCCCTTCCACTCTGATTGAAATTTCTGAAGTTAGACTCTGGGACTAAGAGTTCTGTTCTCCTTTGTCCTGCCTATTTTCCTGTTGACCTTGGAGCAGACAGCGGACTGGTCAGTGGTTCTGTACTATATAGTCATGCAAGTAGACAAACACAAACTCATGTGTTACACAAAGCCTGGCCCCAAACATTCACCCCTGGCTTACTTAAGACAGTGCCGCTAAGAGAAGGGCGTTCAGCGGTAATCCATCTGAAACCTAAAAATATCCTGTTTCCCTGAATGAAAAAGAGAAGGCTAAAGATATTAGGAAACACAATAAATGGTATCAAGCATGGCCTTAGGAAGGAAGATTAACTGAAGATTGATGATCCATCACGCTTATCCCGATGGGTGCAGTAAAGCAACACTGAGTGTATTATTGGTGATATCATGTGTAAGCATTTTAGCAAGATACTTATTGTACTAATTGACATGCTACTTGAGAGACTTGTAAATAAGGATACTGAAAATTGTTTCAAACTCTCTTTTCTCTTGTACCATTTACGCAATGCCAATGGAGATGTGCAGGTGTATGTAATTTTACCCAACTGATGTATGGCCAAAAAAGATACACATGAAATCACATTAAATTCAGCAGGGGAACTCAGAAAATCAAATAACCCTAATATACTGGTGTATGACAACATTAACAACAATCCTAATACATGTTTTACCAGTTGGCATTCTAGATCCTGCCTTGAACATGCATATCCCACGGGGTTGGGGAAGCAGGGAACCTGTCTTCTTATTATACCTCAGTATTTCTCCCGCATCCCTTCTGTGGAAGCTGTTCAGATGTGTACCTTGAAGTTACATCACCTAGTAGAATAGAGCTCAGCCAGCATCTCCCGCCAAATGATAGCTCAGCCCACTAAGGGAAATATGCACCTGAGCCAAGTTGAACCTGCCTGTCCTTCAATGACCTGTGAACTGGATGGTTATATTCTGTGTCTTATAAATTTATGAACTGTGAATTTGGCTTGCTCCAGTTAGGACCCAGGTTCTTAGCTCCCAGCAGGGTGCCTGGTGTTAGTCAAGGAAATACATGATAGCAAAACGACTGGCACTAAACACTAACCATCTCCTACAAATGGAGTTCACGTCAGATTTTTGTATATGTGATCATGTTTTAAAGACATGATAAGAACGTGTTAGTTAAAAGTAGCTTGGGTCCACTTTAAATGGGTGAATTGTATAGTGTCTGAATTATATCTCAATAAAGCTATTACAAGGAAAAGGGGGGAAGAAAAGCTTGAGGTGGAACAAAAAGCATCACTGTGTATTACAGTGATACCACTAATCACCCCTCCCCGCTTCATCATTTTTGCTTAAAGTGACATCGTAGTTCTCTGCCTTGCTCCTAGTTAAAGAATGTGTGGTGTTGTGTGTGGAAGACAATGGCAGGCACTGTTGGGGAATTCAAAAGAAGTAGAAGCCCCTATCCCTGCCTTCCACACAGATGTGATAGTACTTCATCCTGAAAGAGAAAATCTGTGCATGTATAGACTTCTTCTGAGTGATTATTGTATTGTTTTATTTTGTTTGGGAAGTGTGTGTGTTTGTGTCTTTTATAACCCAGTGAGTTATTTATAGACACCCTCCTCCACCTTGCCCTTAAGTGGATTCTGACTTAGAGAGACCCTACAGGACAGAGTAGAAATGCCCCATAGGGTTTCCAAGGCTGTAATCTTTATGGAAGCAGATGCCACGTCTTTCTCCCGACAAGCAGCCAGTGGGTTTGAACCTCTGACCTTTCAGTTAGCAGCCAAGCGCTTAACCACTGCACCACCAGGGCTCCTTATTCATAGAAACAGCTCATATTAAAGTATAGCTGTTCTGCTCATCATCTTTTCTGTTATTCATAGTTACTGCAACAAGGAGGTATACAATAAGGAGAATCTTTTCAACAGCCTGAACTATGATGTTGCAGCCAAGAAGAGAAAGAAAGACATGCTGAACAGCAAAACCAAAACTCAGTGTAAGCCCTTTGTTTTGAACTTAAGAAAGCTGTTTGAAGATAGTTATGATTGGTTCTTGGGGGGAAAAAAAATCACATCTTGCATGTTAAACATCTGCCTTAATGTTTACGGTGTCACTGACAGAGGTTACTGGGATTTTTGCACTCAGAAACCTGGCTGTGCATTTTACAAGGGAGATTTATGTGTTCTTTATAGTCTTGTTTATAAGTCATTTGCTAGTTGTTTTTCTTTTCCTGCTTGTCACTTGTATTTGACATAGGTGATATGATTCTTTTACAGTGATATGGTTAGCTGAATCATTTCCACTCTATGCTTTTATTTTGAACTGTGTTTTGAGGCTTTGACAAAAGATTTTGTTTCTAACCTCCTTGTATAAATAATGGTTAACATTCCTAGATGCTGTGTGTTTAAGTATTACCAGAGAGTATTGTGTTTTATTAATAAGCATGAATTACACATCTTTCGTTTAATCCATCTGCACTGCGTGGTCTCTTCATGTTATCTGTTTTATTTCTACTTTTTATGGCCTTGTATAAGTTTTAGGTTCAGCATTTAAAACAAACTCTTTAACTTTTTTTTTTTAGATTTTTTTTAATTTAAAGCCTTGATACACTAAATCTGGCTATCAAAGATTTGGAACGCTTCAGATAAAATCAATTATAGCTCTAGTATTTGTATACTGCAAAAATTAGGTATTTGCATCATCTTAGATTGTCAGTAGAGTCTTTGTATTTTTTTGTCAAAACTTAAAACTTTGGAATAAATGAAAAAAACATGTTTAAAATCTTGGGCATGTTGCAATTTATAAAGCTTTGTGTCTTTTTTTTTTTTTTTTTTCCTGGTCTGTGTAGATTTTCACCAGGAAAAATGGATCTATGTTCACAAAGGAAGTACTAAAGAGGTAAGCATCCACCCATTCATTAAACAGCCATGCTTAGTGGATGCCTCCCCACGGTAAGGTAGGGGGAACATTGAGCAACAATATTACTTCAAATCATGTGCCTATGACTGACTTCTTGGGTGTGGGTGGTGGTGACTAGCAGCCCACTACCTAGCCAGCCCCCAGAATCTGGGGGAAGAGAGAAGCGAAAGTCACTGAGTAGACTCTCTAATCATTCAGTGAGATAATGTCTGTAGAGTGCTGTATAACGGTTAATATATCCTCCTCAAATGTATCCTTGTCAAGCCCTGGCCTTTGCTTCCAGACATTGCCTCCCTTTTGTCTAAGATCACCTCAGACTTCAACTGGGTTGAGTTTTAACCGTGGGAGGGCTACTCTCTAAATATAGCAGAAGGTTTCAGTCGTCTGCTCAGTGTGAGGCACTGAGGTAGACAGATGCAGAAGGGGACCAGACAGTATAGAAACTACATCTGTATGGCACTTTATAAAACTCTTGTAACCCTTCATTTTCTCTCGGCACAAGTATTTGCTCAGATAACTATGACACAAGGCAGTCTGATAGAATTTTTATCACTGTTGGGGACCTTGGGGAGCATCTAGTTTCCTCAGTGATATGAGGCCCAGAGAGGGTCAGTGGTACACTGGAGATCACCCAGATACTCAGAGCAGAGCCAGCACTGTGAGTCTGGCCTCTAATCTCCCGATTCCCTGTGCATTCCTAGAGTGAAGGTCAAAACTTCTTTTGCTTCCTCATGAAGCCTCATGAGTATGATGATCACCATGAGAAAAGCACCAGAGACTCAGTGCAAGGTAGTAGGCACAGAGTCGACGCAGGTAGATCTAATTCTCCCAGGAGTATGTTACAATCACCAGCCATCTTTAGACCACACATCATAAATGCAACTCCTAACCTTTCCTTGATAAGCAACTACTTATAATTTTTCCAGACAAGTGCATGCAGAGAGCAAGGCCCCAAATGGTACAAGTCACGGAAAGGGGGGTGTTTAATATGTGAGTCACTGGCTAAAGCAGCTGCCGGCTGCATTACCCATTTTTGTGGCTCGTGGGGATTCCCAGAAAGAGTGTACCCTGGGGGAAGCAAATGGCCATAGACCAACTAAGATGGACATCAGGCTTGTTCAACTGAGTTTAGGTACAATGGTTAAGCACTTGGCTACTAACTGAAAGGTTGCTGGTTCGAACCTACCCAGTGACTCTGTGGGAGAAAGACCTGGCAATCTGCTCCGGTAAAGATCACAGCCTAGAAAACCCAGTGGGGCAGTTCTACTCTGTCACATGGGGTCCCTATGAGGCAAAAATTAACAGCACCTAACAACAACACGTTGTTATGGAGAATGAGCCCGGCACACAGGAGTGACCCTCTGTTTTCACGTTCAGCGCCATGGATATTGCACTTTGGGGGAAGCTTTCAACAGACTGGATTTCTCAACTGCTATCCTGGATTCCAGAAGATTTAACTACGTAGTTCGGGTAAGTCTTAAGAACACAAAGGCCTATCCAAATTCTCTTTGGGTTGTCCTGAAGTAGTTTCCCCCAAAATAACTTTTAGGACCCTGAGAATTTTGAGGAAGGCAAGAAACAAGTACACATATTTTAATTCTTGTGTGGCTTCTGTAGGATGTCCCTGAGATTGGCTCTGACAGGCAGAGACAACCATGATATCTTTGTAGCCCTCTCCAGGGAAGATGTCACTCTCTGCTCCTTTTGGTGAGGAGCTCTGGTGGAGCAATGGTTAAGCGCTCATCTGCTAACTGACAGGTCGGAGGTTCAAACCCACCAGCCGTTCCACAGGAGGAAGATGTGCTAATCTGCTTCTGTAAGGAGGAAGATGTGCTAATCTGCTTCTGTAAAGATCACAGCCTTGGAAACCCTATGGGGTAGTTCTGCCATGTCCCATAGGGCCACTATAAGCCGGAATAGACTCAACGGCAAGGGGTTTGTTTTTCTTTTTTTCTTTTGGAGCCGGCCCCATGGATACATGGGAACATGTTGCAGGCAACACAGGCTGTGGCAGCAACATTAGCAAGAGGGAATTCAGCAGTCAGCAAGCCATAAAGCACTCTGGCTTGTTTTAAAAACCTTTTGCACTTCAGATTGCTCTCACTGTCCTTCCCCTTGTCCTGCTTCAGCTGACTCTGGGTTGACCCCAAGGCATTGTTGGTTTAGGCCACAAAAGTATGAGTTCAAAGCACCTCAGTCCCCTCCTCATTCCACCTCACCCCCTTATAATAACAATACCCAGTCCCGTGTTTACCTAAAACTTGAACTACCTCTTTGGGCCAGCTACTTTCCATTTTAAACCTTATTTTGAAAAAAAAAAAAATATTTTAAAGTATTTTAAATGAGCTTTAGCAAAATGTTAATGATGAAGGTAGGAAGGCAAATCATTTTAAGCATGACATTCAAGCTGGTGATTTTTAAAATTGGTTTATTGTTGTTTTTTACCCCTAAGCTCCAGTGGGCATTTTTGTCAATGGTTCAGCCTGGGAGGTAGCAGCTATTTGGGTTTTGGGTTCTGAAGTTGGAGGGGATTTTCCCCTGCAGGGGTTGGTTGGTTGGGTTTTTATTTTCTTTTTCCTGGGTTGTTGTGCTTCTGAGCACCGTGTCAAGTCAGATGATTCTGGCAGGCTGAGCCAGAGCCCAGAGTGATGACATTCAAACCCCTTTGAGGCCTGGATCGCTCACCTGTCATCTGGGCAGATGCAGCCTGGCTATCTGAATTGACCTGGTAAAACCCAGGCCTTCTTGTCGGTCAGAAGCTCACACTGTGCCTGTGACCACATGAGCACATCTGTTAGCTTTTCCACTGAGCCCGTGTTCCAGCAAAAGGGATGAACATAAAAGACCTTGGTGGGCAAAATGTTTGTGTGATTCAGTATGACTACCGTTTCAAGGAGCCGTGGTGGAGCAACAGTTAAGCACTTGGCTATTAACTGAAAGGCTGGCAGTTCAAACCCACCCAGTGGCTCCATGGGAGAAAGACCTGGCTATCTGCTTCAGTAAAGATCACAGCCAAGAAAACCCGATGAGGCAGTTCTACTCTGTCACGTGGGGTTGCTATGATTTGGAATCGACTCAGTGGAACCCAGCAACTGCCACTTGGGGAAGTTCAGTGATACCCACACCTTAGTCCCAGATTTGGAAACCTCTGTGGCTAAGAATATGAATGGTTTCTACCTTCTATATACTAAAGGAAGATGCCTAGATCTGTTGTCTTCCTCGGAAGCTAACCGTCAAAATGGTCCATGTTTAGGTGGTTCTCCTTTCTACCTAGTTTTCCTTTTGTAAGAAATAGAATAATGCAAATGAATAAGGATCCTAATAACTAAAATCTATTTCATGGACTTTATGTGCATTATCTCATTTTATCCTTTCAATAATTCTCTGAAGTGTAGGTACTTCTGTTATCTCCATTTACAGAAATGGAGGCACAGTAAGGTAAAATGACTTGTCCAAGGTCACAAAGCTACGTAAGTGAAGAAATCCGGATTTGAAATTAGGAGAGCCTCAGAGTTCACACTTTTGTCTGCTACAAGAAGTTCTGTGTAAGCAGAAGATTTAAAGTAAAATGGCCTGAGGTCAGATGTCAGCCCCACTGCTTTCAAACAGTTTCAGCCTCTCCAAAACTCAGTTTTCCACCCTGCAAGAGACTTATAATAAGCTCAGCTTTGTAGGCAGCGGCAAAACTCAGCAATATATGTGGAAGTGCTCTGCAGACTAGAATCTGCGATGCAAAAGTAGCTATTAATGTTTATTATTACCCATCTATCATAATTATTGGAGCCCTGGTGGCACAGTGGTTAAGAGCTCAGCTGCCAACCAAAAG